CCCCAAAACCCCAAAACCCCAAAACCCCAAAACCCCATTTTTAAAATGAAAAATTGAACATTTTAATCAAATTCTGGATCAAGAACAAACTCTCAGTTCTTGGCCCACTTAGTGCCTTTTGGAAACTCTTTATAGGGCCTTTCTATTTTTGTCCAATCACTTATCCATGTCTGCAGGAGCAGAGAGTGCGTAACTACCAATACTTTCTTATAATTAAGACTAAAGTCTCTTGTGATGAGGTAGTCTGAAATGTATTTCTTAACCTGCATTTTAAATCTAAGCTCTTACTTTTAAAGATCTATTAATAGCTCATTCGAGCTCCTCTGCATTTCCAGGAAAGTTAGCTCTCTCAGCTTTCATGATGATGCATTCTATTTGCTGCTGAGATTTCCCAACAAATTGCTGGCTAAGCTTAGGCTGCACATCTTGACAGAAGAATAACTCATTATAAGTTCCATCTTGGTTCTCCATCAAACTTGTGTCTAAATTTGGGAAATAGTACTGATATTCCATGTTAAGCTGGTGCCCCCAGTTTCGAGTCATTCCACTGTATCCATACAGGAGTTCTCGGAGACTTGGATGGACAATGTATTTGATTTGCTTTCTATTTGGATGGGATCTCAGCAGGTAATAAGCTGTTTGGAGAGTTCTCCTCATTGGACTCATTAGTACCAAGTCGATATCAAGCTGATGTGCATGTTGAGAGGCATACTGTCACTCTTTTATCCCTATCTCTGACAAAGATGCATCTCTGTAAGACTCATCATGAAAAAGTTCGAGTATTTGAGGCCCAAATCCTGCTGTCTCAATAATCTTACTAAAAGATATCACCCACAATTACTCATAAGCCACATTAAAAGCAGTATTCGCATGCCTAATCAACACAACATTCGACCTCCGCCCATCCACATTCCTCCAAATCTTCTCAATCTTTGGCATCCCTATACTTCTCCTTAGCCCCACCACCCATCCAAATCCTTCAAACTTCCCTCTCATCCTTTCTTACCTTCCTAAATTTCAATTTATTCAAAAAAAACCGGGGTTTTGGGGTTTTGGGGTTTTGGGGTTTTGGGG